TATCCCTTTAGAGCCTGTGCATAGCTCTATCTTTGCACATATAGCACTCTAATTATTTATGTACGCATCTGGCTCCTCCAGTAGATTGAATTTATCTTGTTCATCTTTGTAACCCCAGACAGGTACTTGGTAAATATCTCTTGAAGAAAAGAAGGCAAGAACAAATCCCATGCACCTATTCCTATGTTCACATAGAGCTGTGCCTTTCCCTTAAGACACATTCTGACTTAATAACATTATGAAAATGCGTCTTTTCTGTTAGATTCAAAGTAACCATGTCTTGCTCAATGAATGTACATCTAATTGAATTTCAAGCTTTCAAGTGTTGATTCATTTTAATAAGATAATAGTTTAAAATAGTGGGCTCCACAGCTATAATATAGAAACAAATAAATAAACTAAAAATCTGTGACTTTATTCATCTTCAGCCCCTTTCTTTGCATTAGCTCTATGCCCTAACCAGGCTGAACTTTTATCTCCACAGATAAGCTACTCTTTTCCCTATCTTGGAGCCTCTGTGAAGGCACCAGTGCCTGAACAATAGGGACCAATCTAAGATCTCATCAGTCTTCAGAAAAGACCTTCCTGACCCCCAGGTCAGGTTCAGTCTTTCGTAGTTACTTTTCCAAAGGTACATGATCTCTCTGGAAAATGAGAAAATTCTTTGGGTCAGAAAATGTCTGTCATATTTCTCACTTATTCTTCATTACCAAGCATGTAGTCAACACTCAGCAGCCTCATATTGACCATCTGAATGTACAAAGCTCTGAATTTCAATCTTCCTCTGTCATAGGACATTGGCAACTGCCAGACTGAAAAGGATTACATGGAAGTTATTTTATGACTAAATTCTTAAAGACTGCATTACATGTAACAGAAAGCAAGACCTTCTATCATTTGTTCCATAGCAGAAAAGACTGGGGAGAATTAAAAAGGGACCTCTATGTTGACCAAAAGTGAGTTTTCAGAATGATACAAGCCACATATGTACTTCGCTTTCTGAAACAAGGTAGATGTGATTCCATCTTGGGCAAGAAGGCTGGAGTGGTGGTCAGGGGGCATGGTCTACAGGGTCTGTGGCAATGGGTAATAGGTCATTTGTATCTAGGGGTGAAATATCTGGACAACTGATCTAGACGTTGCTCAGTTTATGTCATTAAACATCAAACAAATGGTGAAAATGCCTCAAAGGAAAATCATGGGTGCTCATAGTTTCTAGACTTATGTTGGTTTATAGACGGTTGTAAAGATCCTATTCTTCCAAGGAAGAACTTTGCAAAACGATTACAAGAATATATGGTAGATATTCACCAATCTTTTTTAAAAAGGACTTACTCTCTATGTTAGGGTAACTGTGCATTGAGGAAATACCCAAACTTTTCTAGGTCTGTAAGATAGAGTCTGAACTGACATTGACACCTTGGGATGCAAAACACGATTGTGTCCTCCAGTTAGAGTTGAGACATACGGAGACCTGATGGTAAATGAAATTCCAACATATGTCTGTTTTTTAGTGAGTCTAATATGTTCACAGACCTACACTGTCTCTGATTTTGTAATCAGAAGAGATATACTTAGAAGTGGCATAATTCTCACATTGGTCCACTTAGCTGAGGAATAAGAGCCATCATGATAGGAAAAGACAAGCAGAATCCCCTGAAACTGCTTCCTGTCCCAGCCAAGAGGCTAACTCAGAAGCAATACCACATCCTGGTAGTAGTTTTAGATTAGTCTTCCAAGACTTAAAGGATGCAAGAGTGATACTTTTCATTGCATCCTTATTTAAGGGATAACTATAATCTGAACCAAGTGATAGCTGATCATACTTGGTGTCTTTGCTGCAACAAAATAACACAGTTTCTGATATCCAGTTTGTGGATTTTGGTCTAGTGAAAACATTCTTCTCCTTCAGTAGAAAAGATCAAACACAGATCACCCTTACACAGAAGAGATCAAATACACACTGCCTTGCTCCAGGGTTATGTTGATTCTGCTGTCGTTTGTCATAATATGGTCCATAGGGACTTGGACTAGCTTGACATTCTACAAATCATCACATTCAGTCCCTAAACTGATAACAGCAGGTCAGTTTGCCTTATAGAACAGGAAAGTTCCCTTGATGTCCTAAGAGGATGCTTTTGTGCTCTGAGTGGGAGTTAAACCCCATAGAAATTTAAAAGATTTTATTTATTTATTTGACAGAGATCATAAGTAGGCAGAGAGGCAGGCAGAGAGAAGGAGGGGGAAACAGGCTCCCAGCTGAGCAGAGAGCCCGATGTGGGGCTCGATCCCAGGACCCTGGGATCATGACCTGAGCTGAAGGCAGAGGCTTTAAGTCACTGAGCCACCCAGGCGCCCCAGACCCCATAGAAATTTAGAAGTCTGCTACATCAGTGAAGATTTTAGGAATATGGCAGTCTGGGAGATGTGGGGCATTCCCTTTATGCTAAATGACAAGTTGTTGTACCTCCAAGAAATACTCCTTATTCTTGGAGGGCCTCTTTGAATTTTGGAGACAGCAAATACTGTGATTGGGAATCTTGTTTAACTCATGTTGGGAGCCACGCAGAAGACTGCCATTTCAACTGGGACTGAGATCAAAAGAGGACTCTGAAGCAAGCCCAGGCTAAGGTACAAGTTTCTCTGCCCCCTGGCCATATGACCCAGCATGCCTGATGGTACCAGATATTCCTATGATAGATAAAGATGCTGTGTAAGCTTACTGACAAGTCCCAACAGGATTGTTTCAACACATACTTCTTGGGTTCTGGAGCAAAGACATGCCTTCAGCAGTATAAGAGTGGTCTCCACTTGAAAAATAGTTATTGGCATCTAACAGAAGCTCTACTTGACCATGGGACACCAGGTGTCTCTGTAACTGGACATTCCTGTGAAGAGTGGAGTATTACCAGATCCACAAATTTATAATATCAGATGTGCACAACAGCAATCCATTGTATAACAGAGAAGTTACATTTAGGCTCAGAGCCAGCAGTTCTAGAAGGTATGAGTAAACCACATAAATAGATCATGAATAAGTAGCCCATATTCCCATGTCATCTGCCTCGATTGCATGAATGCCTCTTCTTCAGCTCACACCTATGGTCTGAAGGCGGGTTCTTTCTGAGCAACTCAGGAAGGAGAAAATAACTTAGGTCTGAGTCACAGATGGGTTAATATGGGTTGAGTTTTAGGCAAGAATACACTGTGGCTCCATGACAGCCCCTCAGGGGTGGTTCTAAAGGACAGAGGTAAAGGGAATTTCTCACAGATAACAAAACTGCAAGAAAATGCATTTGTTTATCCACTTTACATGGAAGGAATAGCCTGAGAGGTAGACATGCAAGGGTCCCTGGGTAGAAACCCATGGTTTGGCTTTGTTCACCAAAAAGCCTATAAAAAAATGGGATTGAAAGACCAAGGAAAATAAGATCTGTGGGGGAGGTATGTGGATGGTGGGACTTATGGGAATGGGCACAAGCAGGGCATGCAGATCTTTGAGTCTCAGTTTATCCACCCCAAGGGAGGGTCTCAACAATGCCATCATGCAGGGCGACCATCAGCTTGCCTCTTGGCTCTACCTCTCCAATGCGGATACAAAAGGCCCACTGGCAGAGTGATGACGGTAGCAAGGATGAAAGCAATGCCTGGGCCCAACAGCATGACTCCCCATTACCAAAACAGATCTAGCTACTTCTCCTACTGAATGCGCCATGTTTGCAGCAGAGACCAGACAGCTACTTGGCATCAGATGGTTGCATTGGACCTCTTCCACTATGGAGGGAGCAGCAGCTTGCTCTACTGGGATCTATAGCTACTCCAAATGTTGGTTTGCCTTTAGCATCATCATTGGCACTGCTATCCAGGACACTCAGAAAGACTGATCTAGGGATATGGGTCCCATCAAGAACTGCCTCCAATCAGGAAGCTGATTTTATGGTAAATTAAGTATGACAATGTGTACACAACCGTGGAATCCACTAGACTAACCATGTATTGTTTTACCCAGAAATAACCAGCGAAAAATGGAGTAGACTGTGAGAGACCCAGCTAATGCACCAGCTTGAGAACACTTCCTTCGTTGGGGCGCTGACCTCCAGGACGTAGCACGTGCACCAAATGGCAGTGCTGTGTCCCAATAACTGGAATACAAGGCTCTCGAATACATGGTGGAAGAAGGATTGATCCCCCTTGCCATTACTCACAGTGGATGATGACTTGCAGAATTTGTGCTTCCCATCCCTGGAAACAAACTCTGCTGGCTTCAATTTCCACATTCCTGGAGGGAAAATTTTCAAGTAGGAAAAACAATAAATTCCCATTAACTTTCTGAACACTTTGAACCCCTCAAGCCATTGGGGGAAACGGCAAAGAAAAGAGTCACTGACCAGAGAGCTTGACTCTGATCTCCATAAGAAACTAAAGATGCTACAACCTGATGAGGGCAGGAAGACAGAAGCCTAGAACTCAGAGGATTCTTTGAACGTCTCCTGGCGCTTTTATTCTCAGTGAGAAAAGTAAATTAACAGTCACAGCAGCCACAGTCCAACGAGCATAAAGCAACAAAATGTTTCAGGTGACACCTGACAAGCACTCCAAACAAGCAAATGTACCAGATGAGAGTGACGAAATTTAGAATGCATGAAGGAGGTGGCTGGTGGCGAGTATCTATGATGATCTTGGGAGAAGCTGCAACAAGAGGGAAACTTCTTATTTTATTCTTTTAGAAATTTCAGTTTTGAAGGAAACTCTACCCAACTGGATTTATAATTTCCCACTTGCGAAGAAAGTGGCCGTAACCTGTTTTCACAAAAGTTGAAGCTGATATTATAGTGTATGAGGGTGGTACAAGGGGTGGACAGTATCAGAAACTTCACAGACACCATTTCAGACCTTCTCAGCCTTACCCATTTTCTATTCAGCTACCACAGAAGCAACCCGCTTTGAATGGGCTCCAACTAACTTCACACAGACTCACACAGACAGCCCCTTACCTTAGGAGTGCACTCATGGTCTCTTGTGTCTTTCTCCAGGACTTCCCGATTTACAGCTTATGGGAGCTTCAACATCCCACTGGGTGAACTTCTGGCCAATGAAAAATAGGAACTGGAAGATAAATTCTTCTCTTTCTTGAGATGCTGGGGTTTTTTGGTTGTTGTTGTTGCTCCAGAGGCTGTGACAGTCCCTCAATACCAGGCTATAAATCACCTTTAATGGCAATCAGCTAGGTAATGAATTCTTCAATCTGCTTTCTCTCTTCTTTTCTGCTTCACTCTTCTTGTCTCTGACTCTTGCTCTCTAGGACGGATCCCCTAGACTTTATCAGTTAGAGTTTGATCATAAAAGAAGAACCACTAAGAGTGGAATAGAAAGAGGGATTTTTAAATAGGGGTTTTGTTTTATGCAGTCGTGTGAAACCATTAAAGAGTTAGTGTGTGGCTGATGTTTACGTGTGCAGTGCTAGACAGGGCAAGCATTTGGGAAAGATAAGTGCATGTGGAGTGGGTGAGAGCAGGACAAACTGGAACCCAGCAGGGCAAGCTTTAGCCTTGGAGAAATGTGTACCTGTGTCAGTCACTTGCCACCTGGAAGTCTCCATCTTCCTTGATGCAGGTGACCTATGGGAACCACAAATCCATTAAGTGGAAGATGAAAATTGGATGCGGGTTTATAACCTGGCTTATAAACAAGGGGCTCGATGGGCTTATGAAAACAGCAGCCATTGTGGCAGAAATGGAAATTATGTTATATAAGGTCTCAGAAACATGTACATCCATTCACCCCAGCAGATCTGGCTAGAGCCACTGAGTACCAAACCTGCCAACAGTAGAAAACACTATCCTAGTCCATTCCCAACTGACTCCTGATGCTAATATGACACCGTATCAGTCCCCAGCAGCACCAACCAGTCACCTGATGACTTAATGATTACATACCATCACTCCCATTATGGAAGGAGCAGCGATCTTCTCATTACTACTTCCAGTCATCCGCTATTGAACTGTTTCAGCTGGGTCTAACTTTTTATACCTTTCACCCTGATCCTACACCCTATGATCCATTTCTACACATGTTCGCAGATATCTGGAGCTATAAATTGAAAAACAAAAGTCTCAGGTAGGAAGATAAGGGCTGCATGTACTGGCAGAGAACAAGGATTCAAGATCAGCAGGATTCAAGATCCCCAGCTTTATGAGAATATGCCCATAGTTCTCCATTCCAATATTTAAAATTCCTCTCTTTCTCAATCAGTACTTTAACCAAGAGATCCAGTGAAATTGGGAATTTATTTTATATCGTAACTCAGATACCTACAGGATTAGAATTTGGGTTTGATTTCAGGAACCTCAGCCCTGTACCTACAGAATATAAGGGTTGGAAGGATGGGGAGCACTCACAGAGACTTTCAAGTTCCTTATGTAGATCTTGTACTGAAAAATTTAAAGCATGGATTTTATCATTTTCTTTCCCCAAGCTCTCTACCTATTTAGAAGCAACCAACCAATCCTATTATACTCCTTAATCCCACTAATCGGGTAGCAAATACTTGATCACCTAAAGCCATACCTTCTATGAGCACTTTATTACAGAGGAAAACTTAATTAAATGTTTGCCACTGGATGTGATGAACTACTAGTGTTCCTCTTATGACTGTAAACAGTGTTATAACTGCTTTTAAATCTAATTGATGAAAAGAAGCAATTCCAGATAATTTAGAGAACCAATCCTTAAGGTTCTGTTTTTGTTCCTTAGTACCAAATTTTGTAGCAGTCAGAGTTTGATCAACAAGCAGACCATAGGAGTGATATACAACACAATAAGAGTTTTATTGTGGGGATTTGACCTTACATTATTTGGGAGCTGGTTAAACAGTCTATGCATGGTGCTGCTTCTGTGTCTGGAATGTCCTGTAGTAAGCAAAGTAGGCAGTTAGGGAGGAAAGATAGACAAAAAGTGGAGAAGATCAGGACAAAGGGTAACCTTCACCTGTCTCTCGTGGCCTCCAAGCCCTCAACTTTGCTGATGGAAATGACCTCACGAGAAGCGGATCACCTTCATCATGGAGCTACAGCTACATTTGGCTCAAGAGTTAGAGAAGCTAACAGAGGCAATCCTAGATGTCTAGTGTGTTCTCTAATCTGTAAGTCAGACCAAACTAAAATAATTCTATAAAAGGTAACAATAGTCTTTCATTATTCATAGGAATATTTAAAAGCCTATTCATATTCCCTGAAATTGCACGCTAAAATTGAATTCAAGATTCTCTTTCAATAAACCATCCATTTTTTTCTGAATAATTAGTGGCACAAATTCAGAGAAAATAAAGCTACTAAATTCTCTTAAGTGTAATTTATATTATTCTATCTCTGTTTGCACTGATTTATTTTTTTATATTTTCCCATTATATTTAATTTAATTTTAAAATATTTATTTAGCTCCCCCTTTGTACAGGCAAACTCTGTAGGAGATAGGCGTATGAATAAGATTCTATACCAAGGATTGTATAATTCAGAAGAGAAAATGCAAATTTTTTAAAACTCAGAATATGATAAATTTAATACAATAACATTAAAGAACTTTTTATGATAATATGGAAGAATGAGAAATCACATCCTTGAGTGGAGAAACTCAGAAATAATATATTAAAGGAGTGGCATTCAAGCTGAATTTTTAAGCTTGAACTAGGCTCCTACTACAGTGGAGGAATAGGAAAAGATTTTTCAAGGCAAAGAGCAAAGAGTATGGGCAATGGTGTGTCTGAAAAACAACCTGAGGGTTTTGAAGGGGCGGGGGCTGGGAGGTTGGGGGAACCAGGTGGTGGGTATTAGGGAGAGCACTTATTGCATGGAGCACTGGGTGTGGTGCAAAAACAATGAATACTGTTATGCTGAAAAGAAATAAAAAATAAAAATAAATAAATAAAATAAAAGATAAAAGGAAGCAGAGAGGCACCTGGGTGGCTCAGTGTGTTAAAGCCTCTGCCTTCGGCTCAGGTCATGATCCCAGGGTCCTGGGATCGAGCCCCACGTTGGGCTCTCTGCTCAGCAGGGAGCCTGCTTCCTCCTCTCTCTCTCTGCCTGCCTCCCTGCCTACTTGTGTCTCTGTCTGACAAATAAATAAATAAAAATCTTTATTTAAAACAAAAAAAAATAAATAAAAAGGAAACAGGGAGTGGTTTCTGGTAACAGAGAATATTCCAGATTAGCTGGTGTGTGAGTGGGATCTAGAGGAGAAGAAAGGTAGTTTGAGGGGCTAGATTAGGCAACTACTGCTGGGTTTAGGAGTCAGTGCTTTAATTAATTAGCAGTCCATAGAGAGGCACTGAGAATTTTTAAATAGGAGAATGACAAGTTCAAAGTAATGCTCCCCGAAGATTTATTTGGCAGTTGTCTGGGCCAAATCTAACTTCTATCTAATTTAGGGCAAGTCATTTCCTCCAGTGGACCTCAGTTTTCTTCTGTGGAAAATCAGAAGGGGGATTCAGTTATCCCTAAGTTTTCCTTCAGCTCTAAAAAGACTTTGCAAAAATGAAATCTTAAAATAAGGGACTCTTGTTTTAAGATCTGTGGCTTACTTAATCATAGAGAAATCACAGTTGTATTAAAAGAAAACATTCTTTTCCAATATTCTGCATTCATGAGGAATGTCTTTTATCAAAGAACAATCCAAATGATTTAATCTCATGCTAGTTCCATAAAGAAGTTGGCAAGGAGGTTTAATAACAACTATGCCCCGCCCACTTTATCTATATACTTTCTTAAACAATTATTTAGAAATTACTGGAGTTACAAAAGAGCCAGAATGGTAGGTGAGCAAGCAGATTAGCGAAAGAGAACCCGAGACAGTTCCCTAATCTCTAGGGAACAGCACGAAAGCTGTCACAGTACCCTGTGTCCTCTGTCTCCCAGAAGAACAAGGAAAGGCAACAAGCAGGCAGCTAACATAAAGGCGCCCACAGGGGTGAGAACAACTCCCAGCATGTGGATCAAAACACAGAGACACTACGATGTAATGCATCTCAGAAGATGCCAGAATGACCGGTATCAGCAACCAGAAATGGTCAGCTGTGAGAGACTCAGAGGTGGCTACACCAGCTAGAGGAAGTCCCTGATGCACTTCCTTCTAGAGGCTGTGATGCTGTTTCCACTGCCCAGAGCCTAGAGGTCACTTTGGAAAGAAAGATAGGAAAGGATGAACCCTATGGCAGAGAATTGATGAGAATTGTCAGAGAATTTGGATGAGAATTGACCATGTCAGTGGATGCAGAAAATTTATTTGATAAAATTCAACACTTTTATGATGTTTGTTAATTCTCAGCAAACTAGAAACTGAAACTAAATATCACAAACTAGTATCAAATGTTTTTCTCCAAAGATGGAGAACAGGTAAAAATGTTCATTCTCATTGCCTCTATTCAACATTATACTGGAGTTCCTAGCTATCGTACTAAGACCAAAAAAAAAAAAAAAAAGAAAGAAAGAAATAGAAAGCTTAAATATTACAAATAAAGAATAAAAACTGTCTCTTTTTGCATATGACATGATGATATATGTAGAAAATCCCAAGGTATTTATAAGACAACTACTAGAATTAATATGTAAATTTAACATTGCAAGGTAAAAGTTTAATATATAAAAATCAATTGCATGTTTTAATACTAGCAGCAAACAACTAAAAAAGTGAAACTTTTAAAATTCTGTTTATAATGATGTCAAACCCTGAAACTAAAGAATAAATTTCACAAAAATGTGCAAAAATTTTACAGTGAGAATTATAATATTTGACTGAAAAAAGAAATAAAGACTTAAACATAGGATTATAAATTGGAGGACCCAATATAATAAATAGGTCAGTTCTCCCCAGATTGATCTATAGATTCAACCCAATCCCATTCAAAATCCCTCTGGGTTTTCCGTAAAAGTTAAAAAGCTGTTTCTTAAATTTATTTTTTTAAGATTTATTTATTTTTATTTTAGAGAGAGAAAGAGAGCACACACACACAAGCAGGGAGAGGGGCAGCTGGAGAGGAAGAGAGAGAATCCTGAAGCAGACACCCCACTGAGCACAAGAGCCTGACACAGGGCTCAATCCCATGACCCTGAGGTCATGACCTAAGCCAAAATCTAGTTGACCACTTAACCGACTGAGCCACCCAGGAGCTCCAGTTTCTTAAATTTATATGAAAATGCAAAAGACCTAACCTATCTAAAAGAATGAATTTAAAGGAAATATACTCCCTGAAGACTTACAAAGCTACATAATCAAGACAATGAAGTAGTGGCATACGAGTTGATAAATCAATGAAACACAATGAAATAGACCCGCTCCTATATGATCTTCTGATTACAAACAAATTGAACAAAACACTCCAATGGGAAAAGTCTTTTCAACAAATGTTGCTAGAGGAACTAGATATCCACATGGAAAGAAATTAACCTTGGCTTCTACCTCAAATTATGTATAAAAATTAATTTGAGATGGATCATAAACTTAGGCATAAAAGCTAAAACCATAAAACACTTAATGGAAGTATGGGAGAATATCTTTCTGACTTGAGGGTAGGCAAAAGTTTCTTAGATTTCATAGGAAGTAAATAGACACAAAAGAAAAAAAGATA